CTATGGCAAGGTGGGGACTAGACTTCAGGTCTCCTGATTTTCAAGGTCACGCCACTCCCTACCACATGCACAATCATCAAGAGACACTGGTTTACTAACGCGAATTTCAAATGAGAATAGCACACCTCCTGTTTACCTGCCACATTTGTCAACCATCAGGCCAACTATCAGTGACCCCAACAAGCCGCCCAGAGGAAACATGGAGACAGTGCAAGACCACAGGAGCAGCATGACCTTCTCGTCCATGAATGTTCCATGTCGCTCGAAGTAGGTGTCATTATAAAATGACTTCAAGACCTGGAAAACATTGCCCCATCAGCAGTCAAGAATACTGGGCAACTCATGAGAGATAATGAGGTAATGCTCTCAGTTGCCTCTTGCCATTGTTCTGAAGGATGCTTCTGCCAATACCCCTAGGGCACAATTGATTCTCTGCTGTTACCTGAGAATGAAAACGCCTACGGTATGATGGGTAAGATGAGGAACCAGATTGCACAAAAAGTTGTTAAAAAATTCACTTTGCAGGGCCTTACTCTGCAAGAGGCAACATAAATACTGACTAATTGTGTGACTTTGGGCAAGTTATAATACCTCTATGAGCCTTAGTTTCCTCATTGGTTATAGAAATATATATACCTAATAGAGCATTTGTGATCACTCAATGTGATCTAGTGATGGTACACTGTTTAACTGAGAAAAGGTGTCCCATCGATGGTAGTAATTGTAAGAATATTAATATATGCCATGAGCAACTACTGTAGTACCTCTTCTAAAGTAGATGCTGAATAAAGTATAGCTATAAACTGAGGACACTGACTTTAACAGTATAGCAGAACTTATATGCCCAAGTGAATGGTTACAGACACTGGGTCCTGTCCTTACCTTACCCTTTCAGGGACTTTCTCCCCGCAGTTGTCCCCTATCTGTTCTGCATCACTAGTTTTTCCCTCTTTATTGCATCTTTCTCCTTCGTATACAAACAGGACTCCTGCCTTATAAAAACCTAACATGACCCCCTCACTAAGCTTCATATTTTGCTCCCCTGTGCTGCAAAATTCCTGCAAAAAGCAGTCTGTCCTCACTGTCATTCCTCCATCCCACCCACTCTCCTTTGAACCCATTCCAGTAGAGCTTTTGCCTTCAGCTCTCACCTCAGCTGCTGATGTCAAGGGCACTCATGCCCTCCATGAAGTTCAAACCAACGGTCAGTTGTCAGTCCTCATCTTGACTCAGCAGAGGTGTCCCTGCCTCCTATGTTTTACTAGGCCTTGGGGACATTTCCCTCAGGTTCATCCTCCCTGACAGGGACCACTTCTCTTTTTCCTTTGTTTTCCCCGACCCCGATCCCAATCCCTAAAGGCTCCAGGGTTTAGTCCTTGACCCCATCCTCTTTGTTATCTGCAAGTGGCCCTCCCAGGGGAAGGGCAGTGGGACTAGGGCCCAAAGCAACTGGGCAGTGAATCCAGGTACCTCCCCTCCCCCAACCCAACCCCATGTCCCAATGTTCCTGGGAAGGATGACACTCCAGGGAGAAATAGCCCTAGTCACCCCCTGGTCTCCAGAAGCGGGCATCCAGGGGAGTACTTGGGGAGGACGGTAGCATCCGGAAGGAAGGTGGCGACCTCCGCAGAGGAAAATGGTGGCAACCTCCCAATCACCTTCTGCCTACCTTGTGTGGTGTGTTGACCACGGCAATGTTGTAGCCGTACTGGAAGGCTGAGCCAAAGGCTGCACTCAACGTCGCCAGCACCAGTGTGGGCTGGAGCCTCTGTGGGAGATGACGACGACTGTCAGGGACTCTGGTGGGTGGAACTTGGGACTTCCGGAAGTGGGGTGGAGGCTGGGCCGGAAGTAGGGGACTCCAGGCCATGCCCAGGGAAGGTGGAGGTAGTGGCTGGCTGAGGGAGGTGGCCCAAGGCTGGCAGTGGGGCCCTCAGGGGTCTGAGATGAGGGGATGGGCAGGGTGGGGAGTGTGCATGCATCGTTTCCTGTTCCTCGACCGCATTCATTCCCTCCTTGAATATATATCTGAGCATCAGCTATGTGCCTGGCCCTGGATGAGGTAAGGGGATGCTTCAGAAAAAGGTCCAGTATCACGCTGCCCTCATACAGCTTACATTCTAGTGAGGGGAGGAGGCAGGGGGCGTCGAGGGGGAAGGAGGAGTCCAAATAACGATAATGCTATGAGAGCACTAGCAGAAGGTGTTCGGTAGGGTGGACAGAGGAGGCCTCTCTGAGGAAGTGCCTTGGAGCTGAGCCCTGAATGGATTAGAGGGAGCAGCCTGT